CGAGCATTCTGACTTCACTGAACATAATCTGGCTTAACATGAACATAATTGCTGAAATCACTTGAAAATATAATTTTTCGCACGATCAACTGAATGGGCCGTGGCGAGCGCGCCGTGCGCTGCCGACGGCGATAAGCCGTCTCCCGACCAAATCATCTTTTCCCTCGGCAACTCCAGACCAATTACACATGAAACATTATTTTGAGGCAATTGGGGCGGCCCGTAGCCACGCGCGGTATGCGCTGGCGACGACTTTGAGCCCTTTCACGAATAAAACACCATTTTGCCTCGACCAAGATCAAGTAACTTCTTAAGTGCTCGTCGGAATATCGCAATCGATCGTGACCTTGCGTGCGCGTCTGCGTGAGCAGTAGGCTATTGCCGTGCGGTGCTCGACTAGCTCGTGTGCTTAAGCTTGCTAGAACTCCTAACCTCACTAAGCTTACTTTGCTGAACCTTATTAATTGTTGGGAGAATAATATATGCGTAAGTGGTGGGAAAATTTCCAACTCTCCTCCTATTTATAAACATGGCCGTGAGATGGGGGTGATGAAGTGAGGATGTGGCCTCACCACTACTTGCCATTTGCAAGCTAATTAGATGCTTAAGGGTGACTAAGCATATGAAATTTCCACCTCATGCTTAATATTAAGACCAAACTTCCCTCACTATGAAGAAAGCTAATGTGTTTTTTTTTCTTGATGTGAAGAAGCCAAATTGCTACGGCAATTGGCATTTTATTTAGTAACAATGAACTTAATCTCACGGCTTTTAGTCTTTAAGTGTGATTAATTTGCTAATTAATCACTAACCTAGGTTTAATTATTTATTAAACATAATGCTTAATTACCAGAATTATTCCGAACGTAAACGGTACGTCGAAAATAATTTTCGGTAATCTCGACTGAAAATAATTAATTCCGAAAACAATATCGGAATTAAATCTGGAAACTTATTCGGTTACTAAAATAAGTAAACCGAATAACTTATCGACTAAACATGAACATGATTATTTATTAATAAAGGCTAGCTTAAAACTAAAAGCTAGTATTTCCTTTATTAATAAAATACGGGGCGTTACATCTGTGCTTGGTATGGCTGAAAGTTCCACTCTCTCTCCACCCACTGATGATCTGGATGAAGTTGCCCACACTCTGACTGGTGGGTCATTGAATAAGTGGCTTGCTCCAGGACTGTTTGTCAAGAGTCTCACTCCTCCTGCGAATGCACTACAGAAAATTGGAGCATCGAATTGGACACCGACTTCACACAAACAGTTTGTAACTCCTACTCAGGCTCGTGTTATATACCGCATTCTCAATGGCGTTCCATTTGATGTTTGTTCGGTAATCTTTGATGCCGTGGTGTCATTTGCGGAAATTTCCAAGCCCCACAAATTGCTGCTTTATCCGTCTACCATTTGTGCTATTCTTTTCAAAGCTGGTGTCAAAATGGATCCACGTGTGGGTGATACTTTCTCACATGTGCTCATGCCACTTGCCCTTGCGGGATTTAAGTCCACACCTCCACGCCCATCTCTTGTCAAAGCTTCTGATGTTCCCTCTCATCTGCGTGGATTCTTGAATCAACAAGTGGCTGTTCTGTCTGGGCTTGAAAAGAAACTGGCTGATCAACGAAGGTACTATAAGGAGGTGCTTGGTTCGTTAAAGTCAAAGTCACAGGCCCCTTTAGTGTCTAAATCGAAAAAGGGGGAGAAGATTGTTACTGCTGGAAAAAAGAAGGTATCTGCTAAGGGGGAGAAGTCGAAGTCCACTGCAACGACTAAGGGGGAGAAGTCGAAGTCCACTGCTGCGGAAATCCCAAAAGGAAAAGAAAAGGTTGCTGCTGGAAAGGAGAAGGTTGATGCTTGATATAGCCATACTATCGTATAACGGTTCAATAGCATCGCGGTTCAGAGATTACCGAGTCGACTTACGCGAAGTCGACTCTGTCCGCAGATTCTTTATGGTATCCCCGGTCAAGGGTCCAGGCATTTTGCCTAGTCGACTTCCACATGTCGACTAACATAAGTGGATTTTCTCTTGGAAGACGGTCAAACGCGTGAGGATCTACTGACAATTGAATATGGCCCAGTCAACTCGAGTTGATATCCCGAGTCGACTGAGGAGGTCTTGATGCTCATAAGATCTCAACGACTCCAGTGCACTTCAACATATCGAAGGACAGTTGTTGAGGATAAGAAGGAAGCTACCAAAGATAAGGAAGAATCTAGATGCTGACTAGGAAGTGGATGGAATGCGAACCGACCAGGGTATTTTGGACATTTCCAGTAAGTCAGCCAGGGCATTTTGCGGACTTCAGGTAAATGTTTTTCTTCTATATAAAGGAGCTGAGGTAACCCCAAAACCCTAACTCCCATTCATTCTACATTCTTCTCCATTATTCCTGCTGCTCTCTCAGAGCAGCTCTCTTTATCTCTTTCACATACTGACTTGAGCGTCGGAGGCTCTACGCCGGAAACCCCTCCGGCGTTGAGTTCTTGCAGGTGTTCTCGCGGTTCAGCAACGGTTTGGAGGCTATCGAGTCAGATCTGAGCTCATTCCCATCGGTTCATTCCAGATCTGGGCAATTTTCCACCGATTCACTCCAGATCTGAGAGGAGACCCATCATTTTGGCGCCGTCTGTGGGGAGTTCTTGAAGGAATTAAGAGCTTTACACCTAGCTTTGATCTGTCTCCGATGGCTGAGAAGGAAGGATTGCAGAAAAACTTGAACGACGATTTCAGGGCAACGTGGACCGACAAGCGACCTCCGCCGATCCCCAGCGCCAGACCACCACTCCAAGTGTTTGGTTTCCCGCCGTTTGGGGCACACGCGCCGTCAGGAGGGCGTATGGAGGAAGAGACGCCTATTACCCCACCCGGAGTCAAGTACCCAGTTCTCACCCAAGGGGAGGCCAGTCACGTGAAGGACACGAGCGGGGAAGCGGATGGTCATGCATCGACCGAAACATCTTTGAGATTGGGGAGGCAGCCTAGGCGACTTGATCAGGAGACAAGGCCACCACCCCAAATCGAGGAGCAAACACTGACCATGACGAGAAGCGAGATGCAGAGGATGATTGCCGAAGCTGTAGCAGCCCAAATCAAACAGACTCGAATCGAGCAGCCTAGGGTCAAACAACCCAGGATCGAGCAAGCTAGGGTCGAGCAGCCTCAAAATGAACAACAACCCCCTGAACGCGAACAGCAGGCGCAGTCACATGAAAGGCAGAACAGGAGGGCAGATGAAGAGGAATCCTCTGTTAGGACTGTCAATCCACAGGCGAGAAACGACACCCTGGAGCAGTTACTAGCGCAGGTGCGAGATTTGCAGGCTCGAGTCGAGGGGAGAAAAACAGGAAGCTCGAGGGGACATCCTTTTTCACAACACATTCTAGATGCTGACTTTCCTCAGGGGTTTAGAGAACTTAACATCTGGTACAACGGGTCGACTGACCCCTCTCGACATCTGAGGAGTTTTGAAAACATGGCGGTGTTGCACCGCTACAATGATCCCGTTCAATGTCGAGCGTTCTTGACGAATCTGCGAGGACCCGCGCAAGATTGGTTCCATCAATTGCCCCCAGGAGCCGTCAGGGACTTTGACGGATTTAGTTCAAGTTTTCTGAATCAATTTGCAAGTGTAAAGGCCCAAGAAAAGTTTTACCTTACTCTGATAGGTATGCAACCGAAAGAAGGGGAAACATTGAGGGATTATGTGGCGAGGTACACACGGGCGTGCGTCGACGTCCCCTCGGCCACTGAGGAAATCAAGTCGGGAGGACTCACTCGAGGACTACTCTCGGGATTATGCAGAAACTCCTTAGCAAAACGACCCGGGAGGACGTTCGATGAGGTGTTAGGAAGGTGCGCTAAGTACATGAATGTCGAGGAAGCTGAAGCCGACTTTTTGCAAGCAGCTAAAGCAAAAGCTAAGTCTCAGGACGAGAAGAAGGATAAGAAACCAATCGCGACGGGAGAGAGAAAAGGATCCCCGAAGTCAGAAAGGGAGGGGCGGTCAAGGGGATGGAGGACAACTCAGTATACCCCCCTGTCAGCCTCGAATGGAAGGATATTGGAGGTAATGGAGAATGAAATTCGCGAAAATGTTGTCAGGTGGCCACGGACGAGGAAGGATGGACCGACAAAGCCCAAAAGCGATCTGTATTGTCGATTCCACAAGGATTACGGGCATAATACCGACGAATGTCAGCACCTGAAGAATGAGATCGAGAGACTAATCAAAGCAGACCATCTAAAGGAGTTCGTTTACAAAGATCGAGATCGAACCAGTCGGCGAAGGAGAGGAGCAAGAGTCCCCGCAAGAGAGCGAGGACACCCGATAAGGAGGATCTCCCTCAGAAAAGAGGAGTAATTCACATGATATTCGGAGGGCCGACTGATGGAGATTCAAATCGGGCCAGAAAAGCATATGCTCGAGGACACCACGGGAAAATTGAAGTGCAGCAGGTCGAGGAAAACGGTCCAGTGATGAATTTTGGGCCAGCAGACATGGGAGAAGTCGAGAGACCTCACAACGATGCCCTAATGATCACAGCTCAGATATCAGGCTATGAAGTGCAGAGGATCTTTGTCGACACGGGAAGTTCGGTGAATGTGATCTTCTACAATTGTCTCAAACGGATGGAACTCGACATCGAGCTTGCACCCCTGCACACCTCCCTTTTTGGGTTTAATGGTTCGGAAGTCGCCCCCTAGGAGAAACCATGCTCGCCGTCGTCCTCGGGGAAGGCGACTTGAGAAAGGTAAAGATGGTGCGATTTGTTGTAGTCGACGTCGAGTCGGCTTATAACGTGATCCTAGGAAGGCCAGTGCTCAATGCATTTCAGGCGGTGGTGTCGACCTACCACATGAAGCTGAAGTTCCCCGTCGGAGATAAAGTAAGGGAGGCCCGAGGAGACCAGAGATTGTCAAGAACCTGTTACCAGATAGCAGTGAGAACGAACCAACGAACGAAAGAAAAGGAAGGGAAAAAGTCGATGTCAAATGAAAAAAGACAGAGGGAGAGCGACCTTAAGCCGCACGGAGAATTGATGGAAATTCAAATCGGGGAAATAGAGGATCAGACCACTAAAATATGGGGAGAATTGGAAGATGAGTTGCGTCGACAGTTGGTGGGACTGTTGAAAGAATTCAGAGACATATTTGCTTTTTCCCCCGAAGAGTTGACTGGAATCGATCCCGGTGTCATGGAACATAAACTTAATGTTGACCCCCTGAAAAAGCCCGTGAAGCAATGACTTAGGCATCATGGGGCGGAGATCGATAAAGCAATTGAGGTCGAGGTGGATAAGTTACTGAAAGCTAAACATATCAAAGAAATTCAACTCCCAGAATGGATATTGAACACAGTGATGGTGAGAAAGGCGCTAAATAAGTGGCGCATGTGCATTGATTTTCGCGATTTAAATTTAGCTTGCCCAAAGGATCACTACCCCCTGCCAAGAATCGACCAGTTGGTCGACTCCACAGCTGGCTGTCAATTGCTAAGTATAATGGACGCATCCCAGGGATATCACCAAATCCCGTTGGCTCCAGAGGATCAAAGCAAAGTCAGTTTCGTGACGAGCAAGGGGACGTATTGTTATGTCATCATGTCTTTCGGGCTTAAAAACGCAGGGGCAACATATCAGGGGTTAATGGATCGAATGTTCAAATCGCAGATCGGGCGAAATATGGAAGTTTACGTGGACAATATCTTGGTGAAAAGTAGGTTCTCGATCTCGCATGTGGAGGACCTGAAGGAAACATTTATGACACTGAGAACATTTGGAATGAAGCTAAACCCAAGTAAGTGCGCCTTTGGAGTAAGGGCAGGACGATTCCTGGGCTATGTCGTGACGGAGAGAGGCATCGAGGTAAATAAAGACAAAGTGCAAGCCATACTCGACATGGCCCCGCCAAAAAATGTTAGAGAAGTGCAAGTCCTGACAGGTCGAATTGCAGGCCTAAGTCGGTTCATAGCTCGAGCTGCGGAAAGGAGTTTCCCATTCTTCAAGTTACTCAAGAAAAAAGCTTTTCAGTGGAATGACGAGGCTCAAATGGCGTTTGACAAGTTGAAGGAGTTTCTGAGCGAGCTACCGTTGTTAACTAAGCCAGAGCCGGGCGACGAGTTGGTGCTCTACATCTCGGTGGGAATATTTTCTCTAAGTTCTGTATTACTGCGAGAAACTGGAGGGGCCCAACAGCCATTCTACTATACAAGTTGAGTACTTCAAAGCGCAGAAGCGAGATATTCCGAAGTCAAGAAGGCCGCATTAACATTAGTAATCACAGCCAGAAAATTGAGGCCATATTTCCTGAACCATATGATAATAGTAAGGACGAACATTCAGCTCGGAGAAACCCTGGGTCGACCTACTGTCTCGGGTTAACTCGTAAAATGGGCAGTTGAACTAAGTGAATTTTCCATCAAGTACGAACCGCGACGAGCTATAAAAGCTCAAGCCCTAGCCGACTTTATCCAAGAGGGGACTAAGGGAGCAAGCAAGAAATGGATAATGCACGTCGATGGGTCCTTATCAGCCAGGGGATCTGGTTTGGGAGTAGTCCTAGTATCTCCCGAAGGTGAGCAGCTCGACTTCGCCATGAGAATGGGGTTTAAGGCCTCGAACAACGAAGCAAAATACGAAGATCTAATTAAGGGGATTCAACTGGCGATCGGGGAAGGAGCAACGGAAATCATGGCACATTCTGACTCGCAGCTTGTTGTGGGACAAGTATTGGGAAATTGCGAAATCAAGGAGGATCGGATGATAAAATATGTCGAGGAAATTCAGAGCCTGGTGCAAGGCTTAGAAAGTTTTGAGCTGACGCAAGTGCCTCGAGAAGAGAACAAGCGAGCCGATTGGCTCGCAAAAATCGCAAGTTCCAAAGAAGGAAAAATGGGGAATTATATTACCACACTGCACTTAGAAGGGAGTGTCCTAAGTGAGACAATGGAGGTCGACAAAAAGCAGGATTGGCGAAGAGCAATTCGCGAGCTATTACAAAGTCGAGTGCCAGAAGGAGATAAGCAGGAGGCGGAGAAAGCAGCCCGATATTTGAGTAAATATTTTGAGATCGAAGGAGTCTTATATAAGAAGTCAATGGTCGGACCCCACCTGCGATGCGCTTCTGAAAAAGAAGGGGATCATGTCTTGAAGAAGATCCATGAGGGTTGTTGCGGAGAGCATATAGGATCGCGAGCCCTAGCTGGCAAAGCCCTTCGAGCGGGATATTATTGGCCCAAGATCCGAAAAGCAGCCGAACAATTAGTACAAGGATGCGACAGATGCCAGCGCCATGGTCGAATCCCCCACATTCCAGCCGAGGCAATGACAACGATCAACTGCCCGATCCCTTTTGCTCAATGGGGAATCGACTTGGTAGGCCCATTGCCAATGGGAACAGGGCAAAGGAAATTCATGGTGGTTGCCGTCGAATACTTTAGTAAATGGATGGAGGCAGAGCCTCTGGTGAAAATCACTGAGGACAAAATGATACAATTCATATTCAATAATATCTGCTGTCGATTTGGGATCCCAAAGATGTTGGTTTCGGATAATGGAACGCAATTTCAAGGAAAACGGATCCAGGCGTGGTGTATCGACATGGGGATCAAGCAGCAATTCGCCTTGGTTGCGCACCCACAGGCAAATGGCCAAGTCGAAGTAACAAACAGAACCATCCTGCAGGGGCTAAAGAAAAGATTAGAAAAAGCATCTGGTGCCTGGGTCGACGAGTTGACAACGGTCCTTTGGGCCTATAGGACGACCCCAAGAAGTTCAACAGGACAATCACCATTCCACATGGTTTATGGAATGGACGCTCTGTTGTCCATCGAAGTCGGCTTGGAATCTCACAGGTAGACATTCTATACAGAAAAGACCAATGAAGAGTTAGCAAAAAAAGCCCTCGACATGATAGAAGAAGTGCGAGAGGAAGCCTGACTGCGATCCGTGGAGTACAAGCAAAAGATGCGTGCAACCTTTGACAGGAAAGTCCGCACGAGACGATTTCAAGTGGGAGACCTCCTCCTCAAGCGAGTAGATGCTCTTAAGCATGTCGGGAAGCTTGAAGCCAACTGGGAAGGACCTTACACCATCACCAAAGTGCTTGAAAGAGGCGCATACGAACTCGAAGATGGTGAAGGACGACAGTTGCCGCGATCTTGGCACGTGATTCATCTCAAACGCTTTTATGCCTAAGATAGTATTTCGAACTCTTTTTGTACTGAACAATGGCTAATCAAAATTCAGTAATGCAATGACTCCCAATTTTATGTTTAAGATGTGACTTTTACATTTCCATGTCAATTTTGTTATAACTAGAAAAATCAAGTCTTTCGGAACGGCTATAAAGCCGATTAACTCAAACAACTACAAAGTTGTATGCCTCGAGCGAAATCTCGGCAAGGCTATAAAGCCCACGACTATAAAAGTCGACTCAAACAACTACAAAGATGTATGCCTCGAGCGAAATCTCGGCAAGGCTATAAAGCCCACGACTACAAAAGTCGACTCAAACAACTACAACGTTGTATGCCTCGAGCGAAATCTCGGCAAGGCTATAAAGCCCACAACTACAAAAGTCAACTCAAACAACTACAACGTTGTATGCCTCAAGCGAAATCTCGGCAAGGCTATAAAGCCCGCAACTACAAAAGTCGATTTAAACAATCTCAAGCAGAACCCGTCAAGGCTATAACGCCTGCGGCTAAAAAGTCATTCTAACTACGGTATATAAGCAAATGGAGTATCGTTAAATTTACAGCTACGAAGTTGTAAGTAAAGTCTCGATTAATTTATAAATACGTCGTAGCTGTAAGTAAAGTCTCGATTAATTTATAAATACAATGTTACGGACGCATGACAAAAGTAAAAGTAAAACGAAAGATAGCATTTAAAATAGGTTCATTACAAGAGTCGCCTCGACCTTTACAATCTGAAGAACCAGATCGAGACAAAAACGAACAATAAGAATAAATGACAGAAAAAGTCACGGAGAATAAAAGGCAACATGTCCAAAAGAACAACTAAACCAGCGTCTTCATCGCTCCCCTCGAGGGTGGTCACTACCCGACCTTCTGCATGGCTGGGCCCGTCAGAC